CTACTACGTTGACAACTTGAATGTACACTGTCCTCGTCATTAGTTGTAATCCTACATGTGCTGGTGTATATGTATGTTCGCCTCCACTGTCTACTACGTTGACAACTTGAATGTACACTGTCCTCGTCATTAGTTGTAATCCTACATGTGCTGGTGTATATGTATGTTCGCCTCCACTGTCTACTACGTTGACAACTTGAATGTACACTGTCCTCGTCATTAGTTGTAATCCTACATGTGCTGGTGTATAAGTATGTTCGCCTCCACTGTCTACTACGTTGACAACTTGAATGTACACTGTCCTCGTCATTAGTTGTAATCCTACATGTGCTGGTGTATATGTATGTTCTCCTCCACTGTCTACTACGTTGACAACTTGAATGTACACTGTCCTCGTCATTAGTTGTAATCCTACATGTGCTGGTGTATATGTATGTTCGCCTCTACTGTCTACTACGTTGACAACTTGAATGTACACTGTCCTCGCCATTAGTTGTAATCTTACATGTGCTGGTGTATAAGTATGTTCGCCTCCACTGTCTACTACGTTGACAACTTGAATGTACACTGTCCTCGTCATTAGTTGTAATCCTACATGTGCTGGTGTATATGTATGTTCGCCTCCACTGTCTACTACGTTGACAACTTGAATGTACACTGTCCTCGTCATTAGTTGTAATCCTACATGTGCTGGTGTATATGTATCTTCGCCTCCACTGTCTACTACGTTGAACACTTGAATGTACACTGTCCTCGTCATTAGTTGTAATCCTACATGTGCTGGTGTATATGTATGTTCGCCTCCACTGTCTACTACGTTGACAACTTGAATGTACACTGTCCTCGTCATTAGTTGTAATCCTACATGTGCTGGTGTATATGTATGTTCGCCTCCACTGTCTACTACGTTGACAACTTGAATGTACACTGTCCTCGTCATTAGTTGTAATCCTACATGTGCTGGTGTATATGTATGTTCGCCTCCACTGTCTACTACGTTGACAACTTGAATGTACACTGTCCTCGTCATTAGTTGTAATCCTACATGTGCTGGTGTGTATGTATGTTCGCCTCCACTGTCTACTACGTTGACAACTTGAATGTACACTGTCCTCGTCATTAGTTGTAATCCTACATGTGCTGGTGTATAAGTATGTTCGCCTCCACTGTCTACTACGTTGACAACTTGAATGTACACTGTCCTCGTCATCAGTTGTAATCCTACATGTGCTGGTGTATATGTATGTTCGCCTCCACTGTCTACTACGTTGACAACTTGAATGTACACTGTCCTCGTCATTAGTTGTAATCCTACATGTGCTGGTGTATATGTATGTTCTCCTCCACTGTCTACTACGTTGACAACTTGAATGTACACTGTCCTCGTCATTAGTTGTAATCCTACATGTGCTGGTGTATAAGTATGTTCGCCTCTACTGTCTACTACGTTGACAACCTGAATGTACACTGTCCTCGTCATTAGTTGTAATCCTACATGTGCTGGTGTATATGTATGTTCTCCTCCACTGTCTACTACGTTGACAACTTGAATGTACACTGTCCTCGTCATTAGTTGTAATCCTACATGTGCTAGTGTATATGTATGTTCGCCTCCACTGTCTACTACGTTGACAACTTGAATGTACACTGTCCTCGTCATTAGTTGTAATCCTACATGTGCTGGTGTATATGTATGTTCGCCTCCACTGTCTACTACGTTGACAACTTGAATGTACACTGTCCTCGTCATTAGTTGTAATCCTACATGTGCTAGTGTATATGTATGTTCGCCTCCACTGTCTACTACGTTGACAACTTGAATGTACACTGTCCTCGTCATTAGTTGTAATCCTACATGTGCTGGTGTATATGTATGTTCGCCTCCACTGTCTACTACGTTGACAACTTGAATGTACACTGTCCTCGTCATTAGTTGTAATCCTACATGTGCTGGTGTATATGTATGTTCTCACCAGTTATATTGACAGCTGAAACTTTCACCACCTTGAATTCTACAACAAGCATATTTACCATGTAGCCCGCATTGTCTTTTTATTTACATTTTGAATGAAACTACATTATGACACATCCATTTTAATTTCCGCGTATTCATTAGCTTTCAAACAACACAAGTGTGCTTTATATTTTTCTTGTTGAAAAGGTATTAAATACTTCCTCCACAGAGGGCTGTCGGCGTATCACCGTCCGTCTGTCCCCTGCAGAAGCCACAGTAAATATTTCCTTATTATTGACCCACACCATACGCGCTATTTGTTGGAGATGTTGAAAATGTTCAATGCATTTGACACGACCTAGATTCAATAGTTTGTGTTGATACTGACCAACAATGCCTATCATGGATTTATGAGTAATCGAATCAATGAAAGTTTTTCATAAAGTAGTTCATTTAAAATGATGACATTGAGCAATGTCTCAGATTTGTTAAAAGATAAAACGAATATGTATACTTTACCTAAAACAGGTTTGTTCTGTGTTGCTGTTTATAAACAACGGAAATAGCTCCGCAACACAACCAAATTAATAAGTAAATATTTTAAATCGTTTGTGTATAAAACAGAGCCCCATATTGTTCATCATTATGTCCGCATCAGTCATTTCACACACACCAACTTAAGCCATCTAACACATGATTCGAGTGTTGGCCGTGCATGTTTCCATTGAGTGTGTTGTGATGTGAGTGTTGTGGTGTTTGTTTCCAATGAATATGTTGTGATGTGAGTGTTGTGGTGTTTGTTTCCCATGAGTGTGTTGTGATGTGAGTGATGTGGTGTTTGTTTCCCATGATTGTGACGTGATGTGAGTGTTGTGGTGTTTGTTTTCCATGAGTGTATTGTGATGTGAGTGTTGTGGTGTTTGTTTCCCATGAGTGTATTGTGATGTGAGTGTTGTGGCGTTTGTTTCCCATGAGTGTGTTGTGATGTGAGTGTTGTGGTGTTTGTTTCCCATGATTGTGATGTGATGTGAGTGTTGTGGTGTTTGTTTTCCATGAGTGTGTTGTGATGTGAGTGTTGTGGTGTGTGTTTCTCATGAGTATGTTGTGATGTGAGTGTTGTGGTGTTTGTTTCCCATGAGTGTGTTGTGATGTGAGTGTTGTGGTGTTTGTTTTCCATGAGTGTGTTGTGATGTGGGTGTTGTGGTGTGTGTTTCCCATGAGTGTGTTGTGATGTGAGTGTTGTGGTGTTTGTTTCCCATGAGTGTATTGTGATGTGAGTGTTGTGTTGTTTGTTTCCCATGAGTGTTTTGTGATGTGAGTGTTGTGGTGTTTGTTTCCCATGAGTGTGTTGTGATGTGACTGTTGTGGTGTTTGTTTGCCATGAGTGTGTTGTGATGTGACTGTTGTGGTGTTTGTTTGCCATGAGTGTGTTGTGATGTGAGTGTGGTGGTGTTTGTTTCCCATGAGTGTGTTGTGATGTGAGTGTTGTGGTGTTTGTTTCCCATGAGTGTATTGTGATGTGAGTGTTGTGGTGTTTATTTCCCATGAGTGTGTTGTGATGTGAGTGTTGTGGTGTTTGTTTCCCATGAGTGTGTTGTGATGTGAGTGTTGTGGTGTTTGTTTCCCATGAGTGTGTTGTGATGTGAGTGTTGTGGTGTTTGTTTCCCATGAGTATGTTGTGATGTGACTGTTGTGGTGCTGTTTCCCATGAGTATGTTGTGATGTGAGTGTTGTGGTGTTTGTTTCCCATGAGTGTGTTGTGATGTGACTGTTGTGGTGCTGTTTCCCATGAGTGTGTTGTGATGTGAGTGTAGTGGTGTGTGTTTCCCATGAGTGTATTGTGATGTGACTGTTGTGGTGTTTGTTTCCCATGAGTGTGTTGTGATGTGAGTGTTGTGGTGTTTGTTTCCCATGAGTGTGTTGTGATGTGAGTGTTGTGGTGTTTGTTTCCCATGAGTGTGTTGTGATGTGAGTGTGGTGGTGTTTGTTTCCCATGAGTGTGTTGTGATGTGAGTGTTGTGGTGTTTGTTTCCCATGAGTGTATTGTGATGTGAGTGTTGTGGTGTTTATTTCCCATGAGTGTGTTGTGATGTGAGTGTTGTGGTGTTTGTTTCCCATGAGTGTGTTGTGATGTGAGTGTTGTGGTGTTTGTTTCCCATGAGTGTGTTGTGATGTGAGTGCTGTGGTGTTTGTTTCCCATGAGTATGTTGTGATGTGACTGTTGTGGTGCTGTTTCCCATGAGTATGTTGTGATGTGAGTGTTGTGGTGTTTGTTTCCCATGAGTGTGTTGTGATGTGACTGTTGTGGTGCTGTTTCCCATGAGTGTGTTGTGATGTGAGTGTAGTGGTGTGTGTTTCCCATGAGTGTATTGTGATGTGACTGTTGTGGTGCTGTTTCCCATGAGTGTGTTGTGATGTGAGTGTTGTGGTGTTTGTTTCCCATGAGTGTATTGTGATGTGAGTGTTGTGGTGTTTATTTCCCATGAGTATGTTGTGATGTGAGTGTAGTGGTGTGTGTTTCCCATGAGTGTGTTGTGATGTGACTGTTGTGGTGCTGTTTCCCATGAGTGTGTTGTGATGTGAGTGTTGTGGTGTTTGTTTCCCATGAGTGTATTGTGATGTGAGTGTTGTGGTGTTTATTTCCCATGAGTGTGTTGTGATGTGAGTGTTGTGGTGTTTGTTTCCCATGAGTGTGTTGTGATGTGAGTGCTGTGGTGTTTGTTTCCCATGAGTATGTTGTGATGTGACTGTTGTGGTGCTGTTTCCCATGAGTATGTTGTGATGTGAGTGTTGTGGTGTTTGTTTCCCATGAGTGTGTTGTGATGTGACTGTTGTGGTGCTGTTTCCCATGAGTGTGTTGTGATGTGAGTGTAGTGGTGTTTGTTTCCATTGTGTGTGTTGTGATGTGAGTGTTGTGGTGTTTGTTTGTTGAGTGTGATGTGATAGGGATGTGAGATGTAGCACAGAGAGATCAAATCTTTGTGTTTTCAGAAGTGCAGTTGTTCAGTAGAAGTTGTGCTGACATTCCCTTTGGACCCATCTTGTTTTCTATGTATTGACATTGTGAAACATGCATATCTTAAATTATAACACACATATAAGGACAACTTAGGTATGAGCACTGTTACCTGGAGAGATGTGAGATGTTCTGTGTGAGATGCTGGATTATGAATTGACTTTAAACAAACTCATATCGTGTAAGGACGAACATTTACTGGAGAGACATGTTGCTAATTATGATGTTTTACAAAAAAACAAAGTCAAATGCGAATTGGGTGGATACATATATTTTCAAGACCAACATTTGGCTTTGAATCTACGTTTAAAACCTATGGCCCATAAAAGGTAATTTCCTCTCATTGACCAAGCAAGTGGTTTGAAACACAATGTCGCCTGTTGTAAAGAAATAATTTCCTCCACACACCCATATAGTTAGTGTGTTTCAATGAAGGAAGTTATAACATCCTCACTTCCAAGCTTCACAGTCACAAGACACATTCAGACGGTGTACACTGAGATCCTGGGGAGGTGGAGCTCGGCCGCTAACAACAGTAAACATACTGCTATACTCATTGCACCAACGTGTGTTTCTAACCAAGTGAGCATTTCGTGTTGTTTTGTTATAAGAAGTAATGCTTATGGAACAAACTTAGTTTCTGTGATGTATATCAACATTCTGTGATTTATGCCGGATTTCTCACACTGAACACCTATATGTATCTTAAATGTATTGTATACGTTTTGTTTCAGGTGATATGGCACCGATGACAATTCTGTGCGTAGCGTGCATACTGATGTACACCCGTGGTAAAGACATTATGAATATTTCCTGTTTGATAGATTTTATTATTTAAACTTTTTAGATTTCTGACATGTAATGAAATTTATATCTGTAACATCCACTGTTCTATAGATAACATCATTCCTCCTAGTATCATCATCAGCTGTAGTTGTAAAACTAAGCATGTCATATCGCCAATCGCAAGGGCCAGTTTTAATTATTTAACAGAATTAATTCAAACATTGTATACTTATATTTTTGACTTTTTAACGCTTTTTTGCAGAAACATGCTTCAGTAATATACATTTTTGCCATCATTTCCAGCTGCCAAATGCAAAGAAGACCAACACTGTTCAAAGTGTGACAGCACCACAGGGTATTGCAACTCTGAGTGTGAACCTGGGTATTTTGATCAGAAGTGCAGTTCTATTTGCAACGAAAATTGTCGAAACAAGAAATGTAAACTTTCAATAAATGGCAATGATAATTGCACTGAGGGTTGTGTCCCAGGATACCAAGGCCCGGGGTGTGGCAGGCCATGTTACAACCCAGGAGGTGGCTGTACAGCATGTCCAGGTGGGTGTGATGGAGGATATTGTCAGGTGGGCTCCTCCTGTGTGTCTGGATGTGTAGACTCCTACTATGGGTCTGGCTGCAAGACATGTCACAGAGGATGTAAGACATGCAACAGAATAACAGGAACATGCACGCAGTGTCATCCTTCATTTCCCGGTCCGAACTGTGAACAGGAGACGAACACTACCAGAGGTTGTGAAGGTGGTTGTGTACCTGGACATGTAGACAGAGACTGCAAACATTGTTCTGACAAATGTCTCAATAAGACCTGTCTACCAAAGAAAGAACCCTTTGATAAACGATGTAATCCAGGATTCTATGGTGAACACTGCAACAAGGCATGTGGTGTGTGTATTGATGGAGACTGTGATCAGATGACAGGGATGTGCTTCAGAGGGTGTAACATGACCACACTTGGATGTGAACCTTCCTGTAGAGCCAACTGTACTTCAGCTGAATGTGACATTGACACATGTCCACATGGTGAATAAGTTCTCTTTGTATTAATAAAAATAGAGGGGAGATCACGCATAACCAATGGAATTATTTAGCTGAATGTGACATTTACACATGTCTACGAGGTGAATATCTAACCAGGTTTTCTGTATATTAATAGAAATAGACGTGAGAGCAAGCTTCCCTTTACACATTCTGAATAACCACTGAAAGCATCCACATGCCAAACTTAGTTGTAGGTGCAAGTCTTCTGCTGTCCATTCCCTGTTCTGTGGTGATACATGAACGGACTGGAATCATCCATCTATGTTGTACTTGAACAGGTTAGACTTGAGCGTATGAACCACTGATAACGTCTCTGCCCTAATGTAACACTTTCAGCAGCTGTAGTTGATGTCAACACAAAGTTAACACAGGACATATTCAAAATGAGCATTTCTTGGTTCTTGTTTTGTGTGTATGTAGATGAAGAGAAGAGTGATGAGCGGGATCTCCATCAGTCCATCAACATGGGGCTGCTGACAGTGTTGTGCCTCTTTGTGTTCTGCATCCTGATCACCGTTTGCGTCTGCTACTGCCGAATTATGGCCTCACAGCGGTAAGGATTCATTCATTCCTTCCTTCCATTCATTTCATTCCATTCCATTCCATTTATTTCATTTCATTTCATTCATTCATTCATTCATTCATTCATTCATTCATTCATTCATTCATTCATTCATTCATTCATTCATTCCGTTCGTTCGTTCGTTCGTTCGTTCGTTCGTTCGTTCGTTCGTTCGTTCGTTCGTTCATTCATTCATTCATTTCATTCATTTCATTCATTTCATTCATTTCATTCATTCATTCTTCCATTCATTCATTCATGCATTCACTTTCATTCATTCATTCATTCATTCTTCCATTCATTCATGCATTCATTCATTCTTCCATTCATTCATTCTTCCATTCATTCATTCTTCCATTCATTCATTCATTAATTCTTCCATTCATTCATTCATTCATTCTTCCATTCATTCATTCTTCCATTCATCCATTCATTCTTCCATTCATCCTTCCATTCATTCATCCATTCATTCATTCTTCCATTCATTCATTCATTCATTCATCCATTCATTCATTCATTCATTCATTCTTCTATTCATTTATTCTTCCATTCATTCATTCATTCATTTATTCTTCCAATATTCCACTTGACTCAGTGTGATTATTGAAATAGTATAGGAAGTCATTTAAATCGTTCATCCATATAAGTGTTCGTAGTATCAACTTATATAACAATATACAATATATGTGGCGTTTGGGGTAATTTGTAGAGAGAGTCCAGGCGAGGAGGCAGTTGAATACCGAGATGAACCGACCAGAGAGAGGCTAGCATCCATGTTTATAAGATCACAGCATACATACTGTGACGTAGACGAGAGTGACATGCGGCCAGTGATCGTCTTCCTGTAGATGTTGACAGGGACACAGAGTAGACACTGTGACGTAGAGAATGACATGGAGCCAGTGATTGTCTTCCTGTAGATGTTGACAGGGACACAGAGTAGAGACTGTGGTGTAGAGAATGACATGGGGCCAGTGATCGTCTTCCTGTAGATGTTGACAGGGACACAGAGTAGACACTGTGACGTAGACGAGAGTGACATGGGGCCAGTGATCGTCTTCCTGTAGATGTTGACAGGGACACAGAGTAGACAATGTGATGTAGAGAATGACATGGAGCCAGTGATTGTCTTCCTGTAGATGTTGACAGGGACACAGAGTAGACACTGTGACGTAGACGAGAGTGACATGGAGCAAGTGATTGTCTTCCTGTAGATGTTGACAGGGACACAGAGTAGACACTGTGATGTAGAGAATGACATGGAGCCAGTGATTGTCTTCCTGTAGATGTTGACAGGGACACAGAGTAGACACTGTGATGTAGAGAATGACATGGAGCCAGTGATTGTCTTCCTGTAGATGTTGACAGGGACACAGAGTAGACACTGTGACGTAGAGAATGACATGGAGCCAGTGATTGTCTTCCTGTAGATGTTGACAGGGACACAGAATAGACACTGTGATGTAGACGAGAGTGACATGGAGCAAGTGATTGTCTTCCTGTAGATGTTGACAGGGACACAGAGTAGACACTGTGATGTAGACGAGAGTGACATGGAGCAAGTGATTGTCTTCCTGTAGATGTTGACAGGGACACCGCGAGGAGACTCTGCGATGTAGATAAGGACACAGCATAGGCGCCCTGAATTTAGGGAGAATGATATTTGTACAGAATTAATATATTCATAAACGGTTTTGTCCTCTTAACTATCACTATCAACTGAACCTAAGCTTCATGCCATCGTTGTCATGGCTCTTTTTTTACTCTGCTTTCACATCTAGAAATAAAATATAATTATTATATTGTTTTCGTTTCCATGAAAACAGAAATGCATGTTAACACATTTTACATGCATTTATTGCTGATGAATGCTTTAACCGTCCCTGTTAATCTATGAACATATTACAATTGAAAACCATTCCTCTTATTTCACTGCAACTATTAGGAATGAGAAACCGCGACAGAAACTATTGTTGATGGAAACAGAGATTTTCAGCTGTGCGAGTCATACTTGAGAGTAAGTTTCGTAATGCTACAATTGAGTGCTAATATCTCTAGTCTCCCCTTTTTGTATTTTGTCAGAAATTTATATTTTACCATAATAAATAAGTATAATTGTGTCTGTTGTGTATATTTGCACACTGCAGGTTTGGACGGAGAAAGTTTGCTGTATGAAATATAAACATAAACATAGTGAAGTATAAAACATAAATGCCTTCTTTGATGTCATCCCGAGTTCCTACGGAAACCGCCCAAGTATAAATAGACCATAAAGTCAAAACAATGTCAGTGACGTAAAATAGCGACGGGGGCGGTCGGGCAGCCTGGTGGTTAAAGCGTTTGCTTGTCACGCTGAAGACCCGGGTTCGATTCCCGACAGGGGTACAGTGTGTGAAACTCATTTCTTGTGTCCCCCGACGTGATGTTGCTGGAATATTGCTAAAAGCGGCGTAAAACTGTACTCACCAACTCACTCACTAAAATAGCGACGACCGTCAGTGACTGCTGAACTTCTCATATCGAACGCAAGAATTATCAATTTAATTAACCTGTTGCACAACGACGAAAATCAATGTCGCGAATGTATCCTTCACTTTGGTAATGAAAACATCCGTTTGAGAGAGAACAATGTCACGTAGTCAATGTTGATCTGAAAAGAATCTCTATACCACAATGAGTACGTTAAAAAAATTCCCGGTTTTCGGGATTGAAAGTCAAGGCTGAAAAAAACAAGTTGACATGGATAGGGTAAAAAAAGATCAAGATATAAGTGATGTGTGAGCTGGAATGTTTGGTCACAACCTCAGTTTAAGTTACTAGGCAAATATGTTGATGCTGATTTGGAAAATATGGTTAACTCAAACTATACACTCAAGTTTGATAAGATACAAAAGGAAATAAAAATGTCGGAAAAGAGAACCCTGACACTGATGGGTAGAGTAGTTGTTACCCAAACTTAATCACCTCTATTTGCAGTACACCAAGTCCATCCAAAATTGTAATAGAAACAATTAAGTCAAAATGTTTTCACTTTATCATCTGGAGATCTAAACCTGACAAAGTTAAAAGGACAATTATGTCATTACATCCTACATATGGCGACATCAGTGTCCCAGTGGTGGAAATGGTTAAAGCTGTACATAAATTAAGCTGGATTAAAAGAGTGGTTCATGGTAATTCCACGTGGACAGCTTTCTTTTTTGAAAATATAGCAAGCGCAAATGTAATTTACCTGCTGATGCTGCCTAAACTAAACTAAACATGAACTTACCTTGCAATCAACTGAACGTGAAATCTCCTTGTAACGTAATGAACAATGAAAATGTGATCAGATCAAATGAAAAGGATTTGAAACTTAACGTGTAGTTGCCGTATGGTAACAATGTAAATGGGTAACTCTCTCAACTATTTCTATTCTATTCTATTTCTGTAATATTCTAATTCACTATTTGCTCACTTAGAGAGAGATATCCATTTACTCCTTACCCAGAAGCCAAACTGAAAATAAACTGTGTCTAGAGCATGCGCATTTTGCGCTCATCCAGCAAGAAGCACGTGCTGCATGCCAACTTTAACGCTTTCCGCGAAGCTGTTGTGTACCCATGAGTCAACCACTGTGTCCAGGAACATGAGACTTGTTCCCGGACAATTGTTCCCGGACGCTTCCGAACACTGCCTATATTAACAAAAAGATTATTCCAAACATTAACAATAAGGACGTTTTGTTATGGTGGTCGGTACCCTTGAATTGTTGTGATAATGTTAAACAATCTGGTGAGGATATGATGAGCACATCTGGAAGGTATAATAATGAAATCAAAATTGATGGTAAGTCTATTTATTCTCCACAATGGCCTCAAAAGGGTATAGAATATAAACATGACTTCATTCATGACACAGGGAAATTATATGATTTTGATGTATTTGTACACAAATACAGTTTGAAGACAGACTTTTTGACCTATCAAGGAGTAAAACTATCAATAGTCAGGTATTTACTGAATAACAATATAATACATTGTGCTAAATTTTGCCAAAGACCTGTACTGCCAGATAATGTGTCAAAAATAAAAGAGAAAAAGGGAAGCAAGGTATTTCATGAAGTCCTATGAAACCCTAAATTTATAAAACATTAGTGCTACAGAAACTGGGAAGATGTTCTTGAAAAACAGTTTACAGATAAAGAGTGGACAAACCTTACGGCAAAAAGATGTACACAAAGTTCTGAAGTAAGAAAGTTTCAGTTTAAAGTTAAACATAATATTTGAAGTACTTACTGTTATTTATTTAAAATTGGATATGTTGAATCACCAGTTTGTTCATTATGTAATGAACCATCTGAAACAATTACTCATGTATTGTGTAAGTGTCACTATGCTGCTGATATATGGACGAAACTTTCAGATTGGCGTGGAAACTGTACAGAAGACAGAGTTAATTTTAGTAATAAACACATACTGTTTGGATTCAAAGAGAAGAATAACAATTCACACGATGCAGTAATCATGGTAACAAAATCTATGCTGTACACATTTAATAGGAAAAAGTCAAACCGATCCTTTTTACTAATTCATATTATGAAATTACAAAAGGTATTAGATATTCAAATTGTAATTATGCAAGTTTCCCTGCCTTCTGGTCTTCTCTACATGTATTATTTAGAGACTCTGTATAACTATGATATCTGATCTGTCTATGCTACAAATATGCCAATAAAGTCACAATAAAGTTACGTAATGTTACGAATAGAGGGAACAAGCCTATAACTGTTGTCACTGCAACAATCAGGAATAACAACCAACGACAGACAATATATGTGCTGCACGTCGAATTGACAGTTACAATGTTTCATTCAAAATAGATGTGCAGTGTGATATGCAGACGTACAGTAAACTGTTTTGTCGATCATAAAAATACGTAATTTGTTCTGCGCCAGGTATAAATACAACATATGCATATAACAGTATGGACACACACAAAAATAAATAAATAAAACTAAACCATTCTCAAATGTAATATTTTGTTTGATGGGTGCAATCGGAATATTTATATCCAAGTAGCATGTCATGTTTGCATATAAAGGTACACTGTGTGAAATGTGTTGAATTTGCATCTTGTATGTTAATCTGTCAGACACCAATCTCTATGTAGTGAGAGACATGATATATTATGTAGTTGTGCATCGGGAATAATGTTATATACACAAATCTGTATATAATGAAAGACATGAGGAATAATATATTATATAGTTGTGCATCGGGAATAGTGTTACATACACCAATCTATATGTAGTGAGAGACAAGAGGCATGATATATTATTTAGTTGTGCATCGAGAATATTGTTACATACACCAATCTACATGTAGTGAGAGACAAGAGGCATGATATATTATGTAGTTGTGCATCGAGAATAGTTTTACATACACCAATCTATATGTAGTGAGAGACAAGAGGCATGATATATTATGTAGTTGTGCATCGAGAATAGTGTTACGTATGTAGTGAGAGACAAGAGGCATGATATATTATGTAGTTGTGCATCGAGAATAGTGTTAGGTACACCAATCTATATGTAGTGAGAGACATGAGGCATGATATATTATGTAGTTGTGCATCGGGAATAGTGTTACATACACCAATCTATATGTAGTGAGAGACAAGAGGCATGATATATTATGTAGTTGTGCATCGGGAATAGTGTTACATACACCAATCTGTATGTGAGTGAGTGAGTGAGTGAGTTGTGTTTAACACCGCTTTTAACAGTAATACAGTAATATCACGGCGTGTCAGCTTAATGTAGGAGGAAAGCCCGAAGTGATGCAGGTCACAGACGTTTACCACTTCGGTGAAACCCACGAGCACGGGTATGGTGCTGACAAACCTAGAAACATAATCGGGGCGAATCGGGATACGCACCCACAATCATAGGTTTCTGGCGTGTCCGAAGGGAGGCAACTCTGCACAGCGAATCGGGGCGCCTTAGACGACTGGCCCATCCGTGCCCCCTCCAATATGTATGTAGTGAGAGACATGAGGCATGATATATTATGTAGTTGTGCATCGGGAATAGTGTTACAGACACCAATCTATATGTTTCGGGAATAGTGTTACATACACCAATCTGTATGTAGTGAGAGAAATGAGGCATGATATATTATGTAGTTGTACATCGGAAATAGTGTTACATACACCAATCTGTATGTAGTGAGAGACATTAGGCATGATATATTATGTAGTTGTACATCGGAAATAGTGTTACATACACCAATCTACATGTAGTGAGAGACATGAGGCATGATATATCATGTAGTCTTGCATCGGGAATAGTGTTACATACAGTCCTGGTTACATCAGCCAGTTTGTGTGTAAATCATAGTGGCTTAATTATAAAGCACAGGTAGGACACAACCGTATGTAGTATCAGCTGAGGATTAGTCATACATTATTTTCAGAAACACGTTTATTCCCTGTGAGGGGTCGTCGTGCAGAAAACCGTCTTTCTCCAAAAGTAAATTGTCACCTTATTAAGTAAATAGTATAAATAGTGAGTTAAAGTTTATCGTCACATCGTCAATAATTCAGCCATATCGCGACAAGATAATGTTAAACATTGACAACAAATATATTTTGTATGTATAAAAACCTGTCGCAGAAGGACAGTAAACAAACAACACTATCACATATTTAAGTTATTTTGGAGGACCTGTAAAATAATAAACTATCATTCAAGAGCACAATATAAAAACGGGCTATAAGACCGCCAGGAACCATGCAAGGCCACCATACCAGGGACCGTGGGGACTGACGATACTTCTGCTGCCTGCACGGTTCCCCAGCAGGGTTTTCACCATCACTTCAGCTGCTGGCGATTATACGCAATTTTAGCGAAAATTAAAATTTACAAATATAGTGCGATGAAAAACTATGTTACAAATAACCTACTTTGACATGGTCTTTACCCCACAGGGGTACAACTATTGTACAGCTACTGTCATATATTTTAGTTAAAACTAGCTGGAGGACCTGTAAACTAATAAACTATCATTCAAGGACATGGT